AAGATAAAATTTGTCAAGATAAAATTCACATAACATAAAACTTACCACTTTAGCCATTTTGAAGTGTGTGGGGCGCGGTGGCAACGCCATTCCTAGATGGCGCCCGCTTCCTGGTCACACCCTACTGTGCGTCTGACAAACAGATGTTCAGCGCATGTGCAAAGCCTTGCCTCCTCTCCTGTTCTGTGTTGGCCAATCAGGGTATGCCCCGTGTACTTACTGTCTATATAAGCAGCCGCCGAGAACGCCTCGGCATCTTCCGCATGTAACTAGTTAAGCAATCCCCATTAAAGCGCTGTCAGAAGAACTCCAGTTGCCGTGTCTTCCTTGCTGGCAAGGCGGGCGCGACAGAAGTGTAAAAATTGTTTTTTTTTAGTGTATTCACAATGCACAATGTTGTGCAATCATCACTACTATCTAATACTTAAACATTTCATCACTGCAAAAAGGAGCCTCAAACCTGTTAGCATCCCCAATACCCCTCCCCTATCCCTTAGCAACCACTAATCTGCTTCCTGTCTCAATGAATTTGCCTGTCCTGGAAATTTTATATAAATGGAACTACGCAATCTTTGTCCATCTGTATCAGGCTTCTTTCATGTAGTGTAATGTTTTCAAGGTCGATTATGTTGTGGCATGTATTAGTATTTTATTCCTTTATATGGCTGAGTAATGTGAGCTAGAATAAAATCTTAAGCCCCCCAGCTGACTGAATGGACCTCCCACTTTGCCAAAGGGCCCCCAGAAATACCCTAGAACTAGTTGCTGGCCATGAGAAGAGAGGTCAGACATGCCTCATCATGCCCCCCTCCCTTCTTGGAGATATCCTTTGTAACTTATTATCAGGCCTAAAGTTATTCAAGACAAAGCTTAAAACAATATACTTAATATTAGCAGACTTCCTTAACTTAAAACATTCTAAGCCTTTAGACAAAGCTTCATTTCTTTAACCAATTACAAATCAAAGAGTCTTTAAACCCACCTGTAACCTGTAAGCCCCCCACTCCAAGATGTCCCACCTTTTCAGGCCAAACCAATGTATACCTTCAATGTATTGATTTATGACTTTACCTATAATTCCTGTCTCCCGGAAATGTATAAAAACAAATCATAACCCAACCATAGTGAGTCCACTTGCTCAAGGCTTCTTGGGCATAGCTCCAGGCCATGGTCCTTAAACTTGGCTCAGAATAAACCTCTTTAAATGATTTTATAGAGTTTGGGGTTTTTTTCCACTGATAGTAATATTCCATTGTATGGAATATGTATGCCATGCCATAATTTGTTTATCCATTTATCAGTTGGTGGACATTTGGGTTGTTTCTAACCTTTTGCATACTGTGAACAGTGTTTCCATGAGCATTGATATACAAATATTTTCAATTCTTTGGGGTATATTCCCAGGAGGAAAATTGCTAGGCCATATAGTAATTCTAAGTTTAACTCTTTAAAAAAAATTGTTTAAAGATGGGGGCTCTCTATGTTGCTCAGGCTGGCCTCAAATTCTTGGGCTCAAGTAATCCTGCCTCAGCCTTCTGAGTAGCTGGAACTATAGGCTCAGACTACTGCACGTGGCTTATGTTTAACTTTTTGAGGAGTTGCCAAACTATTTTCCACAGTGGCTGTACCATTTACAGTCCCACCAGCAATGTATGAGGGTTCTAGGTTCTCCACATCCTTGTTAACATTTATTATTTTCCATTTTTTTATTATAGCACTCCAATGGTTGTGAAGTCGTGTCTCTGTGGTTTGGATTTGCATTTTCCTAGTGACTGATAATGATGAACATATTTTTATGTGGGTTTTTTTGGGTTTTTTTTGGCTATTTGAGTATCTTTTTTGGAGAAATGTCTACTCAAGTCGTTTGCCCATTGTTAATTGGGTTGTTTTTTGTTGTGAGTTCTTAAAGAGTTCTTTATGTACTCTGGATACTATACCCTTATCAAATCTATGATTTGAAAATATCTTCTCCCATTCTGTGGATTGTCTTTCTCGTTTTGATACTGCTCTTTGATGCACAAAAATTTTCCATTTTGATGAAGTCCAACTGGCCAGCCTACTTTTAAAAACATTTGAAAAACATTTTTGGAAATTATTTTGGAAAAAAACAATTATGGAAATTTCCAAACACATGCAAAAGTAGAACATGGTATAATGAAAACCTTTGAAGTTGTCATGCAGCTTCATGATAACTAACATTTTGTCAATGCTATTTCATCTATGCTTATGTTTTTTGTTTGTTTTGTTTTGGCTGGCTGGAATATTTTGAATCAAATAGTAGATATTGTGTTGTTTACCTGTAAATACTTCAGTATGCATCTCTAATTAATAAGGACTTTTTGGTTTATATAAACTTCAGGCTATCATCCCACTTGACAAAATATGTAATAATTTATTAACAGCATACAACATGCAATCCATATTCAAATTTCTCCAATTATCTCAAAAGCATGAGAAAGAAAAAACCTTTTATCTGAAGAATGCGAGCCTCTTTAAATGATCAGGCCCAGAAAGTCATCTAAAATGTAACAACAGTCACATCTGAATCCCCCTTGAGCTAAATAATTACTTCTTGAAGCCACTTGTTATTCCAGCTCTATACTAACTGATGACAAGTAGCCATAAAATGCCACATACCCTATAGTTCCACAATGTGCAGCCAATCACTAATCAACATTATTTCTGTAAACCAGTAAAAATTCCTGATGAACAACTTTTGTAATCACCCCTCTCCTGATTAGTCCTTTTTTTTCTTTAAAAACTTGAGCCTCTCTTGTTCTTCAGAGCACTCCTCACAGCAACTCCGAAATCTGTTTCAGGCTTCCGTCCTCAACCTTTGCACTTGAATAAACTTTCTTTAAACTAGATTCTGACCTTTTTGATTATGTTAGGTTGACAGGTGTCTTTTTTACAGTTATTTGATTCAGGATCCCAATAAAAGTTACATATTGCATTTAACTGCCCTATCTCTTCAATCTCTTTTATTTTATAAGATCCCTTCTCCTCCCTGTTTTGTTTTGTTTTTATGCCATTGATATGTTGGATAAACCATGCCTTTTGCCCTGTAGAATGTCCCACATTCTGGCTTTGGCTGAAATCACATTGCACCATTTACACACAAACAACTGAGAGGCAAAAGTTAGGATCTCAGAAACAAAGCAGACCTTAATAATAATAGCTAATAGCTAGATGGCACAAACTGGGCACTATACATACATCAACACATTTTATCCCCACAAAAACCCTAGGGGCTAGGTAGTACTATTATCCCCATTATACAGATACGGTTAATTTGCTCAAGGCACAAGCTAGTAAGTAAGGGACTGAGCCAGGATTTAACCCTGGCAATCTGGTTCCAGCTTCTGTGCTCTTACCTGTTGTGAGACTTGCATCTGGTCACAGAAGCCCTTTATGACAAAATGCTTTTCAACCTGAGATTGTAGGAAAGACCCCAGGTCAGATCTTCCTTTTCTGGAAGTGATTGCAAGTGATTGGAAGCACCCCTCCCCTTTGTTATACAAATAAGTTTCTAGTGCTGGCAGCTATTTTCCTAAGAGTGGTGTGTAACAGGGCTCTCTGAGGCACATATTACCTTCACTTTAGAGATGACATCCTTTACCTGAGGTCCCCTGTCTCCTAAGCAAGGTCTCTTTACCTGGGCTGCAGTCTTTCTAAGCACTGATTCTGGGCTGAGGGACTGGCCAAGGCCTGGGGGACAGCCACACAGAGTCCAGGTTCTCTGCTAGAGTCAGCAGGGTTCTCTCTGCCTCACCAGCCCATGATCCCACAAGGGGCTCCTGGGCCACACCTGAGGCAGGAAATGAAGACCCCAAGTGCCCCCACCGGAAACTCAAGGGCACAGAGGATCTCCTGGGAATCAGGCATGGGCTGGCTGCTCAGCCCTGACTGACTCCCTGCAGCCGGTCTTTCTGTGATGTGGAACCACAGGGCTACAGTGGGCATTTCCTGGAGGCAGAGTATCCCACAGGCTACTAACCTTCCAAAGGCCAACCCCAAAGTGCACACACTTCCAGGTCACCTTACAGCCTCATCTTTCCTTAGTCCCCACCTTTCCACCCAGGAGATAAACCCTTCTTATTCCTTCTCTGGGGGCTGGAGTGGAAGAAAAAGCCACACAGAGCCCAGACTCAGTTGGGAGACCGGCAAGACCCACTGGAGAGAATCTGTACCGAGGCGGGAGTGGTACTGGAAGTGCACAACGATGCGGTCCTACCCCGCTCTGGTGCGTACTAGCAGGGCACTGCGTTCAAACTCCATGTCTGTTACCTCTGTAAAATCTGGGTAACCTATTCATATTTCAGGGGTCCACACACTTTATCTGTAAAGGGCCACAGAGTAAATATTTTAGGCCTTCTAGACCAGACTGTGTCTGTCATAGCTACTCGATTCTTTTCTTCTAGCAGAAAAGCAGACAACTGGTGAAGGAATAGGTGTGGTTTGTTCCAATAAAACTTTATTTACAAAACACTTGGAGATCTGGATTTGGTGCGGAGGCCAAATCACAGAGCTGCTGGGAAGGACAACTGAAGATGTGGACTGTCAAGTGGGGAGCACTTGGGAGGAGTCTGGGGGGTAGCGGACGTGGTTACAAACATAAAGCTCTGGGCCCCACGCTTCCAGACAGGAAAGGACACGGGCCTAGCAGGCCCATGTGCCTGGGCTCCGCGGGAGGCTCTGCCATACGCGGCCTTCTGACCTGTGCAGGGCCTCGGTTCCCTCGACGGTTCCACCGGCTGATCAAAGACCCCCGTCAAGTGCAGAGGAGGAAGCGACAGCCCGCGACGCTCAACCCAGCCCGCGCAGTCGCGGGCCGCAGACCCGCCCAGGTGCACAGTCAGGGGCGGGGCCTCCGCCGCGGGCCTGAGCAGCCGCAGCTCCTCCTCGCGCCTCGGCCCCGCCCAGGGCCCCGCCCCCGGCCTGCTCCTGGTCCCGCCCCCCAGCCCGGGCCCGCGAGCTTTGGCTCGGCCCCGCCCCCAGGTCCCCGCGCCAGGGCCTGGCCCGGCATGCTTTGCGGCCGCACGTGCGGCGGCGTCCCGGGCGGCGGCACTGGAGGTGAGCGCGCAGAGCGGGCGGGCGTGCGCAGACCCGCGGGGCTGGACCCTCTCTGGCTTCCTGCCGGGAGCGCGCTCGGACTGCGGAGCAGCCTTGGGGAGCCGGGGTAGAAGCATAGCGGGGTCCCCGGTGGCCCAGCCCTCTGCGGGCTGCTCAGCACCCCCCGGAGACCTAGCCCAGAGCGCCGTCTTGGTGCCGGTGGCCCTGCCGGCCCTGGGGTGTTGGGACCTTGCCCCGGAAGGACCGACCCTTCCTTTCCTACCCTCAGTTTCTGCGTTGGAAAAAAAAAAGAAGCCCAAATAATACTATTCTCGTGGCAGTTATTGATTAAAATAGGCCCAGCAGTACCCTGCGCTCTTGTTTACGGCAACTTCATTGCTAAGTGAACACTTTTCACAGACAGGGATACTGAAAGCCAGTCAGAGTTAAATAATTGTGAATTTTTACCGGCATAGTCACGGATGAAATGATAGGTTGCTTGGGATATTTAAAAATATCCCAAGGTACTGGGGTTAGGAATTAAACGCAAGAGTTTTGGGGTGCACAGTTGGGCCATAATACTGCCACTTTGCTAGCTGAGGGTTTGGGCCAGTTCACTTAACCTGCCTGTGCCTCAGTTTTCACAGCTTTAAAATAGGGGCAATAGTGGGATGGTGGTGTGAGTGGGAAGAGAAGTGAAACACGATTGGCCATGGGTTGATGTGATTGAAGTTGGTTGATGTACTATTTTGTCTACTTTTGAATATGTTTGTAATTTAGCATAACAGATTTTCTAAAATGAAATTTGCTGTGCATACATGACAGCCTGTGTTCAAATACTGTGCTTGTTAATTGTCTCCTTGGGCTACCATAACAAAGTACCACAGACTGCGTGGTGGCCTAACTGGCGGAAATTTATTTTCTCCCTGTTCTGGAGGCTAGAAGTCCAAGACCAAGGTGTTGGTTTCTTCTGAGACCTTCTTCTTGGCTTGTAGATTGTTGTCGTCTCCCTGGATCTTCAAATGATCTTCCCTCTGTGTTTGTATCCTAATTCTGCTTATAAGACACCAGTGAGATTAGATTAGAACCTAGGCTAATAACCTTAAATTACCTTTTTAAAGACTCTCTCCAAATACGGTCACAGTCTGAGGTACTAGGGTTAGGAATTAAACATAAGAATTTGGGGGTGCACAATTCGGCCCATAACACTGGCAGCTTACTAGCTTGCAGTTTTAGCCAGTTTGCTTTGCCTGTGCCTCAGTTTTCACAGCTTTGAAATAGGGGCAATACCGTGTTTCCCCAAAAATAAGACCTACCCATAAAATAAGCCCTAGCAGGATTTCTAAGCATTTGCACGAGATAAGCCCTACCCCGAAAATAAGACCTAGTGATGGGCGTGGCTACGCAGTGCATCCGCACAACCCATGCATTTTGTCGCAGAGCGGTAAAAAAGACGAGCAGCCCTTCTCATCTGCCCCATGTGACAGCTACTATCCCAGAGGTGACAGGTGCGGGCAGCCCCACCAACAAGGTTGGCTTCCCCCATCAGGTACCAGGCATCCTGTGCGTGCTGCAAGCTGAGGTTTTTGAGGGGAAAACAACACATCCCCTGAAAATAAGCTCTAGGGTATCTTCTTGAGGAAAAATAAATATAAGACGCTCTCTTATTTTCGGGGAAACACAGTAGTAGTAATTAGGTCATGGGATTGTGAGGATTCATTTGTTAGATAAGATATGTAAAGTTCTCACACCGTGTCTAGCATGTATTAATAGTAAGTACTCAATACATTGAACATATGGTAGGGCTTTATCATGGGATGAATGGTGGAGCACACTTAGTGCTATGCCTAGCCATGGGAATACAAATAGTAATTACAGCTGTTATCACAAGGGATATCCGCTGCTGTGCCAGGCGCTAGCTGTTGTATATATGTTCATTCGTGTACTTAGTGACCCCAGAGATGGGCAGGGCAGATGAAGAGGTGATGCACAGAGATGAGCTGGGATTTGAACACAGGCAGTCTGTGCACAGGCGGTGTTGTAGTGTTTCAATTAAAAAGGGTGCAGCCCTTAGAGGATGTTCAGTCTCAGGCAGGCCCGGAGAACTGTTGGCTGACTTTTGTTTTTCTTGGCCCAGGTTGTCAGCAGTGGCAGCACTCATGGCTGGTCCCCTGTGGCGGGCTGCAGCATTTGTACAAAGACACAGGACAGGCCTCTTGGTAGGTTCCTGCGCAGGCCTATTTGGGGCTCAGATCTCGTATCACCTCTTCCCGGACCCCGTGGTCCAGTGGCTGTACCACTACTGGCCTCAGGGCCAGCCAGCCCCACTCTCTCCACAGCTGCAACGCCTCTTCCAAGAGGTGCTACAGGACATAGGCATCCCCGCGGGCCATTCCTATAAGCCCTTCACCGCCTTCACCTTCCAGCCTGTGGTTGCAGGCTTCCCAAGACTCCCTGCTGGGGCTGTGGTGGGCATCCCTGCCAGCTTCCTAGGGGGCCTAGTAATCAACACTGACCATACCGTGGTCGTACATGGGCAAAGAGTGAACTGGCAGACCCCAGCAGGTGCCAGACTGAGAGATTCCCTGACCCTGTCGCATGACGCCCAGAAGTTCGCCTTGGCCAGGGAGGTGGTGTACCTGGAAAGCAGTGCAGCTGCCCTGCAGGCCCTGCTGGCCCCAGCTTGCCTGGCAGGGACCTGGGCACTGGGTGTGGGTGCCAAGCATGCCCTGGGGCTCTATGGAGGCCCCATGAATTTACGGGCTGCTTTCAACTTGGTGGCAGCAGTGGCAGGCTTTGTGGCCTATGCCTTCTTCTCGGACTCTCTCACTCATTCCCTGGAAGCCTGGCAGGACCACCGCACGGCCTCCCTCTCTGCAGCCTATGCCCAGGGTGGAGTGGAGTTCTATGAGAAGATTCTGTCAGGCAACCTGGCCCTGCGCAGTCTTTTGGGCAGGGAAGGGGAGAAGCTGTATACGCCCAGCGGGAACGTCGTCCCCAGACACTGGTTCCGCATCAAACATTTACCGTACACCACCCGCCGGGACTCTGTGCTGCAGATGTGGAGGGTGACACTGAACCCAGGCCGCTCCTGATGGGCTCATCGCAAGGACAGTTCCGGCTTGTGCAGGCACCACACTGCTATTAACTCTTGGGGGCTCTCTTAGTGCCTCTACACCCACGGCTCACAGTCAGAAAAATCACAGGCTTGGGAATTAAATAGCCTGAACTCTACCCTGTGAACTCAGCACTTACGAACTCGTTGACCCTGGGCAAGTTCCTTTATGAATCTGAGCCTTGGTTTCCCAAACTGTAAAATGAAGAGACGATGTAAACTACCTCGAAGAATTGTAGGGTTAGGTGAGATTGTGAACTTAAGGGCCTGGCAGAGAGGATGTGCCATAAATAAACAGGACATTCCCTCCTTTTTGGTCTTTGATTGCCAGTGGGCCGTGGCGTCAGGCTACACCTCACCACCAGAGGTTGCAGTATGTGAACACTTTCTTATAGCAAAGAACCACCCCTCAATTTGCCTGGCAGTCAAATGCCAATTTCCCTCCACTGTGGTAGAGGTTAAAAGATTTATGAGGCCATTATGAGAAGTTAGTGTGGGCCTGAGAGGCTATTTTAAGGTGGGGCCTTGAGGGTGTTGTGAGAGTCAGGGTCTTGCAAATGCAGATGACACTCTCGGGGGATCCAAGAAGGGGTAGAGGGCTACCAGGAGTCCCTGGACCCGAGGGGAGGGGAGGTGTTTCCAGAACCTGGCAAGGAAAACTGTGGCTTGGGAGACTTCACCTGAGTTTTGCCTGAAGGTAGAGGAAGGAAGGAACCATTGCAAAACAGAGTCCCAGTAGGGAGGGAGCTCCCTGGCACCGCCCCAGAGTGGTCAGCCTCCCTGGCCACAGCACGGCCAGGGCTTGGAGAGCAGAGGCAGTGAGGTGGGGTGGGCTTGGCTCTTAGGGGGCAGTGAGGAGAGCGGAGGGGTGGAGGTGAGCAGTGGACTGGGCCTGGTGTCCCCCTAGGGACCCTTGGGAGGCTGTGTCCCTGCCTTGCTTGTTTCTCTTGAGTTCTCTGGTGGTCGATGGCACAGACCCCAAGTTTTGATCCTTAGATGCGATATTGCAGCAGGGGAGAGTTGTGATCGGGCAGCAGGCTCAACCGGGCTTCATGGCATCTTTTCACTGGAGATTACATTTTCCCTGGGAAAGTTTTGAAGAATTCAGGCCTGGCACCGGTGAAACTCAGGGGAAAGGGATTAGGCCACGTGCAGGGAAGGGTGCTCTGCAGTGGCAGATAGTTCCTGGCAGGAGACCTCGAGAGGAAAGTGAGCCAGGGGAGGGGGCCACGGGATGCAGTGGGGGCGGCACACTTTCCTGCTGGGTCACTTGCCATGGAGGACACGGTGAGGACAGCACACTTTCCTGCTGGGTCGCTCACCATGGGCTGGAGCTTAGCATGCTGAACACTGGACCTGGACAGGCTAGTTTCTGAGGGCAGCTGGTCCCCTGCTCATCTCGCAGGTCATGCACGCTGCCCCTCGTGCTCTGCATGTTCTCTAAAGCTTAGCCCAGGCCATCTCAAACTCTCCCACTGAGACCTCACCCAGCAGGTCAGCAGGAAGGCAGCAGCCTTGCTGGGGGCCTGCTCCGGCCCAGCAGTCCCTCTCCCTCCCACTGTGGCTGACCAGCACCAGCCTTCATGCTTGCCCTTCCAGTGGCTCTTCTCCCAGCTCTCCCAGCTCTTGGAAGTATAGGTCTGATTGGGTTGCTCTCCTGCTTAAAAACCTTTAGGGACATCCCTTTGCTTTCTGGCTAAAAGCTCTGTCTCCCAGCTCTGTGGATTCTAGCCTCACTGGCACTTCCATTCTTAACTGCTTTCCCTTCCCTTCCATATGGGCCTTGTGTTCATTGTGTCCTTGCTCTGGACACAGTCTCCAGCCTGCCCTTTGCTCAGTTATTTAGTGCTCCTGCTGCAGGAATACTCAGGGACCTGACCCCTGCAGCGTCACTCCACCTAGGGAACCTCCCCCATCTCTTGCCAGATCCCCATTTATGTACTATCATATACCCTAAACCTCTTCCTAGCCCTACTGCTAACTGTATTTGAGATGTGGTGGTGTTAATGGTTTAACTCTGCTGAAAAGTAATATCTACAGTGGCAGAATTGTGTGTCTTGTTTACAGCTCTGGACTGAGGCTCTCCATATTTTTTAATAAATGAACAAGGCTCTGAGCTACAGCAGACACAGCCCCAGCTCCCTAAAGTCTCAGCAATGACAGTAAGGCTGGCTGGAAGCCCTGGATGAAGCCACTGTGAAACCTATCTGACCCTGTCCTATCTTCCTTACCTTGGAGTTTTCCAAGGGCGGGGCTTGGCCCTGATCTTCTACGGATGCCGACTTCAGTCAGGAAACCAGGACACTTCTGGGTCACTTCCTGTAGGGCACAGATTACTACTCAGGGCAGCAGGAAGATTTTGTGATATATTGTGCCCCTACACACAGATTTAGGGGTTGATCCCAGAAAGGTTAAGAAACATACTCGAGGGCTTTGCATGCGAGCCAGGTGACAGAAAGTTCCCGTGTAAATGTTACCCTGCATCTTTCCTTCTCACAGCCTGCTCACTGTGTGCAGCAATCCTCAGGCCTCTGCCCCGGGTCCCTAGAGAACATTGTTCTACTGACTTGGGCCCTGCCTTCCCCCATCCTAAGTTCATGGTTTTCTGGGTGTAAATATACAGCGATGCCCAACACCCCAGAGCAGTCATGCACAGACCCAGAACCAGGCTGACCTATAGAGAGCTACGTCAGCACACAAAGACCACCCTTCATCCCCACACATACACATGCCCATTTGGACACAGCCTGCTTACAGGGAAGGGAGTCCCAGAGTCATGGCTCTGGCATTGACTCTGACCCTAGCTGGCCCTGCTGCCTCTGTCCCCATCAGTGTCCACAATGCAGGACCCTACTCCACCTTGCCTGGAGCTGGGCGCACACATATGCAACCTGATACTCGTGTGTGCCTAGACCCCAGGCTGAGTCCCAGACGGATGCAAAGGTCACCACCCACTGAGGCCCGCTTGTCTCCTGCCCGCCACGTCCCCAAAGTAATATATTGGGGCCCTTATTAGGCACCACCCTGTGCTATGTTCTTAGAGACTTTTTTGTTTTCCCCAATTGGGGCACATAGTTGGTGATATTATTTCAGTTTTACAGGCAAGGAAAGAGCACAGAAAAGTGAAGAAATTTCCCCTAAATCATAAAGCTTTGTAAGTGGCAGAACAAGGGTTTGAAACTGGCAGTCTGGCTCCAGATTTTGTTCTGAAAACACTAAATTTATACTGGCCTATTTATACTGAGGGTTTCATGGTGCAAACTTTTACTGTGGATTCTACAGCCCTTCTCATGCTGGGTTAGAGGTGACTTTTCATGCTCACTTGTTCTATTAGGAAGAAATGGTCAGTGAGCAGAGAGACCTGGTCATTTCCAGGGAGACCCTTCCATCTCACTGAAGAGGAAGGGGCACCCCGCCTGTCATGCTCAGTGCCTGGGGCAGAGGGCAGTGTCATGGAGCTCTAGGAGACACCAGCTAAGGACAAAGGGGCCTTAGGAGGCAGGGAGGGAGCACAGTGGGCAGCCAGCTGTGGGTTCAAATCCTGGCCCTACCACTGTGGCAGAGCGATCTTGAATAAATGATTTCACACCTCTGGTCCTGAGTTTCCTACCTATAAAACGGGGACATTCGTATGCATCTTATAGCATTGTTTTGACTATCAGAGTGAGAGAGTTTGCAAAATGAGGAGCCTGGTGAGGGTGTATAGTAGGCTTTAAAGGAAGATTGTTTTCCTAAATTTTAGTGCTTTTAAATGGTATAAAATGTTCAGGTCTTGGAGCCGCTGCCCAAATACCAGCAATTGCTTGAGACTGGAGCCCTCCCAGAGAACTCACTGCTGCCAAATACAGCTTTGTTTTAAAGCTTTTCGAATCCCCACTTGGGGCAGTTGTTCAGGTTACTGTCAGTTGACATCTTTGGGAAACTACTTGGCAGCAACTGAGAGCAGAGGACCCGGGTGGCTCTCGGGGGAGATACTGGGCTTTGACGCGGGAGATGGGAGACAGTCCTTTACACCTACTGTACTAGTAATTTTTAAATGCTGAGACATTGTGTTGGTAAGGGTGTGGTAAAGCTGATACGAACGTGTGCTGTTGGTGGTATTTGTGTCGGGCAGCCTCTGAGACGGCCCCTAGTGATCCCCTGTCCTGGTGTTCTTGGCTTTGGGTAATAAACCACCTCCCTTGCTCCTCTCGGTTCTAAACAATAGAATACAGCAACATTAAGGGGATGTCATTTCTGTGATTAAGTTACAAAAGATGGTGACTTCGGTCTTCTAAGCAGACTCTATTGTCTTCTCAGCTTTACCTGTTTTTTCTTGAAGCGTGTTGCCACGTTGGAGAGGCCCATGTCACAAGGAACTAAAGGGACCTCTGACCAACAACCGGCTAAGAGCTGAAGCCCTCTGTCCCACAGGCCACCAGGAACTGAATCCTGCTCACAACCATGTGAGCTTAGGAGAGAATCTTTCCCCCCTCCAGCTTTCAGACAAGGTCCCAGCCTCAGCCAACACCTTCATTGCAGTCTGTGAGAAACCCGAAAGCAGAGAAGCAAGTAAACCATGACCCACAGAAACAACAAGGCAATAAATGTGTGTTGCAGTAAGCCGCTTGGTGTTGTGGTAACTTGTTATGCAGCAATAGATAACTAATACACTTTATTAACTGGCACCATGTTTTTAGCAAGTAATTGACAAAACATGATCCAGTCACAAAGCTATATCTTTTGACTGAGTAACTTCAAATCTAGATTTATCCTAGGGCTATAATCCAACAGAAATTAAATAGTATATGCCCAAAAAGATACATAAGAGCATTAGGTATAAATACAAAAAAATAGGAATAATTGAAATGTTGAATAGCAGAGACTTAGGAAATTTTGGTACATCCACTTGTTGAATATTATTCAGCCATTAAAAACTATCATTATGAAGACTATAGTAGAAGCATGAGGAACTATCTGTTGTAAATGTCAAGTCTTTTAAAAAATATATAAGGTGCTATCTGCATGGGGATTGCAATAATAAAAACATGGTAAGACCTGGAAGGAAATTCACAAAACTGAAAGTAATTCTGTTAGAGTGGAATTTGAATGACTTTATTCATTCAAGTAGTAAGGATTTATCACTGTATACATTTACAGTCATGCGTTGTTTAATAATGGGGATACATTCTGAGACATGCGTCACTTAGATGATTTTGTCATCGTGTGAACATTGTTGAGTGCGCTTACACACACCTAGATAGTATGCCCTACTACACACCTGGGCTATATGGTTTATCGCCTGTCGCTTCCAGGCTACAAACCTGTACA